TGAACTCTCTCTACTTGGTGAACTTAGTGGTCTTTCAACAGCCAGCATCGCTAACTCTCCCTTAGCTTTCCACTGTCTGTTTACAGGTCAGGATGGTATACAGATGAGAGCAGAAGGCCAGCTTAGAATTTCCTGAGCTTGCACTGAGCTTCAGGTTTGCCTTTTAGCTGCCTGGAGTATGCCAGAGCTTTTTAAAGCCGTTTGGTTATTTTATTCCCTAGCCTTTGCTTTTGTTTCCTCAAGCGTTAAAACAATCACCTATAATTATTTTTAACAGACACTCCCCTGGGAAAAGACTTTGGAAAACAACCTTATGGCCAGGTGCTCACACATGCACATGTATGTACACCCTTCCTTCGATGGGTTAGGTAATGGCAGTTCTTGGAGATGTGCTTTGCTTCCTGTGTGGTGACTAGTACACTGGAATCGGGGCTTCCCTGGGCAGAGAGTGGGGCGGGGCTAGGGCAAAGTAGGATGTCACCAAGCTTGCTGGCCTTCTGCTGTAGCTATCTATCCCTGGCTAGTTTCCAAAGTTCATACAAGTTGATGCTGACAGGTTTTGCCGGAAAGCTTTTTAGGATCCCCTTCACTTCATTTTTACTGACATTCCTTTGAATTATGAATTCATTCTTGTCATTTTGGTTTTTTAGTGTTGTTTGTTTGTTTGTTTTTACTGCTTTTCTTTTTATATTGTCAAAAATAATGTTCTTTCCTCATGACCTTCAAGTTCTGAGATTCAATCATACTATACTGTGTGTTGTCCAGAAATCAAGTTTCTTTTTGATGACCTTTCCCGCCTGTGACCCCAGTGTGACTGACTGTTTCCAGTTGCATCTCACACTTTGAGACTAAAGCACAACTGTGGTTTGTGTTTTGGATCCTGGTTGATAGTACTTTTAGTTTTTTCATTTATTCTTTTCCCCTCTTAAATGATATGTGATGGAGAGATCTTGTGTGTCTTAAATGCATTTATTTTATTTAACCTTGTACTTTGGATGTATGACAGAGGCATTTTTCCTTTTTCAAATTTTAAATTACATTTTTATTCTTTGTTTATGTATTTATTTATCTGTTTGTGCATATATACATTCCATGGCACGTGGAGGTCAGAAGACAACTTCAGGAATTAGTTCTCTCCTTTCACCTAGTGGGTCTCTGGGATAGAACTCAGATGGTCTGGCTCAACAGCAGACTCAGTCTGCTGACCCCATCCTCCCTTTCCTCATACCCTGGGCTACTGATTTGGAATGCTTTATCTCATCTACATGGGTTCTTTGTGAGGAAACTATCCTATCCTCTTCAGAACTAATAGGACCTTCTTAAAACTGTTAATCAAAGCATGCAAGTTGAAGTCATCCTGTGTCCATTCTGCTCAGCTCTCAGGGGGTCTTTTCGACATAAAGGTATAGTGTTTTAGAAAATCAGCTAATAAGAATTCTAATAAGATTTTCTGGAATATCATATTGTCTTAGTAAATTAATCGCTTTATCTAATTTCTTTATCTTGAATTTTAGCCTTTCTATTGAAGTTTTATCTATTTTTTTCAATTATGATTTTAGTTCTTTTTTAATTTTTGGTCTGGTACTTTTTTCATATCATCTTAGATTTCTGCAAAGTTGTAAAGTAGAAATATTGAAATACACTTTCCCTGATTAAGTCTATCATTTTTGGTTTTGCTTCTTAGCTCTTTTTCCTCATGTTGCTGGCATTTTTCATAAGAGAGAATTCTTCCTTCCTTACGAGATTTATTTTTCTTGTTGATATTTAGTATTTTTCCACATTGTTTTGGGTGTAGGACTTTATTGGTGGTATTTTCGGTTGCATTTCAGAGGTCTGTTTTTCCCACCATCTATCAGCTGAGAGACTTGACAGTTAGGTTTGCCTTACAAGGTGTGAGGCCTTGATGGTTGCTGTGATTGAGGAGTTGCACTTTACTTTGAGCATGGTCATCACACCAGCTCCTCAGAGTTCAGGCCAGTATGTGAAGGAGGGCTCCTCCTGCAGGTATGGCTGCTCCCCAGGGCTGACTAAGCTATTCTCACATATGCTGTGCTTTGTGCCTGCCTTCTCCCAACCAGCAGTCTCTAGCTGCTGCCAGATGTGTTTCCCAGCTGCTGGCATCTGTGCCATGTGTCATTCTGTATTCCTGTCTTCACAGATGTGCTAAAGTCTCATCCGTTCTTCCCTTCATTATCTTTCAGTAGTGTAGTGCTTTTGTTGTTGTTGTTACTGTCATTTTGGTAGACCTCAAGAGATCAGAGAGATGTTCCCAACGTGGTGTTTTCTGCTGAAACTTCTGGAAGTATACCGTGTCTAGTTACCACCTTTGAGGATTTATTTAGTTCAATACTCTGGTTAGGTCCTGTGAGAATCAGGCCTAAATTTGGAAATTAGCATGCTGTATAAAACTGCTGGGAGTTAGTTAAGGTGAGCTTGTTCTTGGGAGGTACCAAGACCTGTGTTCCTTGCAAGTAGAAAGTCATGTTGATTAATTTGGCCAACATTTGTCCTGATTATCAGGAATGGGCTGAGCCATGCCACATTTACTTGCATTTCTTTGGCTGTCAGAAGGTGGACAGTGAACCTAGACTATAATCAGCAGGCCCATCCAGGTAAAGCTGTAACAGTAAGCAGAGGAGAAGATACCTCCCTGAACCTGCACTTGAACCTGGCAGTGTGGCATGTCAAGTAGAGGCAGACCTTCTATCACCACCTGCCTCAAGCACACACACAACATTTTCACTGAGAAATGTCAGGTGGGATCACTGTCATTTCTTCTTAAATTTTAATTTATTTTTTATGTGTATGGGTGTTTTACTTGCATGTATTCCTGTACCATGTGTGTGCCTGGTGCCCAGGAGGCCAGAATGGGGGTGTTGGACCCCTTGGGTGGGAGTTGCAGACTCTTATAGGCTGCAGTGTGGGTAGATGCTGGGAATCAAATCTGGGTCCTTTGGATGAGCAGCCACTTAATCACTGAGTCATCTTTCCAATGGGTTCCTCTTCTTTCTCTCCTCTATTTATTTATTTATTTATTTATTTGTTTATTTATTTATTTTGTTGATGATGATGGATATTTAAGAATGCAACTGGGGAGATCGCTTAGTTGGTAAAATGCTTGGCATGCAAGCATGAGGACCTAAGTTCAATCCTCAGAACCCTCTTTTAAAGAGGGGGGTAGGTTGGGGAACACTTATAATTCCAGAATTAGAGAGGCAGAGACAGGCAGATTCCTGGGATTTGCCGGCCAGCCAGCCTCACCCAATCAAGCTCTAGGCCAGTGAGAGACCCTTCCTCAAAAACATCCAAAGTTGTCCTCTGGCAAACACACACACACATGCACTCATACACAGATATTTGCACATGTGCCCCCAACACACATATATACAAAATTATACAGGTTTTACTTTTGTAATTCGTCAGCAAATAGTTCCTGACTTGGAAAATTAAGTTCAAGTACTTAATGAGCATCTACCAGATAGTCTCCCAATTTTAACTTTATACACATATTAGAAAAATAAACTTGTTCCCAGTGTCTATTTGGTATGTGCATTAGTGCAAATACAGGTTGAACAGCTCTAGTGCAAAATTTTCAGATTAAGGAGGTGAAACTAGTTAACATCTGTGCTACTCCCCCCCCAAAAAAAAAAAAGAAAGAAAGAAAGAAAAAAAAAAAGAATGAATATGGGCTTGGGAGATTGCTCAGTTATTTAAGAATATTTACTAATCTTGTAGAGGACTTGGGTTCATTCTCCCGTGTCTGCATCAGGTGGCTCACCACCACCTGTAACTCCACTTCAAGGGGCTCCAGTTCCTTTTAGGGTATACAGGCACCTGCATGCATACATGTACATACATACACCTAGGCACACACACATAAACTAGTAAGCCTTTTTTTTTTTTTTTTTTTTAAATAAATGAGTAAGTGAAATAAATACAAGTTTTCTTTTCTAATGATTGGACTTACACCTTTCTGGGGTCATGTACTCTGCTTTGTGTCTGCTGGCTGGTTGTGTGGTATAAAGTGGGGCACCTTTTCCTAATAATTTCCAGTTCATTGTGGAGCCATACATTTGTGGCAGGAAGAGGTATACCTACCACAACAAAGTAGACACATAGACAGTTTCTGACCAATGCGGCCTCAGCAGGAGAAAGGTGTCTGCGGCTCAGCTTCATAAAGAACCAAGCTAAAACGCCAAGCCTGGTGGCACACTTCTTTAATCCTAGCACTCAGGAGGCAGAGTCAGGTGGATCTCTGTGAGTCCGAGGCCAGCCCAATCTATGTAATGAGTTCCAGGCCAGCTTGGGCTATAAAGTGAGAACCTGTCTCAAACAGACAAAAAAAAAAAAAAAAAAAAAAAAAAAAAACTGAAGAAACTAGTTTTACCATCCTGAGCCACATCCTGTATAGCCGCTCAGAGAAAGAAGAGGCCACACATGTCTTTTGCCAGAAACTTTTGGGCATGCAGCTCAGGTATTCTAGGCACAATGGTCCAGGGCCTCAAGATGTCAGAGAGGTGGCTCTTGCCAGGGGCTATCTGTGGCCATTTAAGAGGAAAACAGAGAGCGGATCCTCGTGGAAAGGAAGCTCACCATATGAGCAGCACTGAGGGTCCCTTCTGTAGCCTCCAGCAGAGACTTGTGCAGTCTCTAGGTAGTCACAGGGGAGGTGAGAGGAAGCACCCAACTCTTATCTCTGCTTGCCTTCCAGCCTGAGAACCAGTTTCTCTAACTGCAGAAGGTAAAGGGATTTGGATAGAAATTCCGCAGCTTCCGCCATAGTACTTGACATTTCTACTAAAGTTGAAAAAAATTTTTTTCCTCGTACATTTGCCTAAAGGAGCTGATAGAATGCAGGTTACTTGGAATGTGGACTAGGTTGGAATGGCTGTCCTCACAGAGATTCTTGGTGAACCCAAGTGTGACAGTGTGTATACAGCTGGAATGCAGTAGTTGCTACCTTCATAAGCAAGATGATTTTTCTCCTGGTGTGTTCTCAGGTCTCTGTGGCCCTTAGCAGTGGCTCCATTCGAGTAGCCATGCTAGAAGAAAACGGAGAACGTGTCCTCATGGAAGGGAAACTCACCCACAAGATTAACACGGAGAGCTCCCTCTGGAGCCTTGAGCCGGGCAGGTGTGTTTTGGTAAGTGTGGGAACTTGTGTACTGAACTCCCAGGTAGATTTCAAACCTACTGTGATGCCCCTTTGGCCAAGTCTTTCCAGTGAGCAGTGAGACCTTTAATTATAGTAATTGGAACAAACTTAATTAATTCTTTGTGTATTTATCACCGTGCTCCTGCTCAGACAGCCCACCCATTTGTATCCTCTACCCCTCAGGTTTCTCATCCCTGAGAACCTACTTCCCTATATATAAAGGCAAAAACAAGTACATTAAAATGAATATGGAGGTGGCATTTTTCTTAGGTGCCAGTCCGGATTTAATAAGTTCACTAAAGAGATCTCACCAGTGTCTGACAAGGCACAAGGTAAAGTCCGAGACTATGACAGTGAGGTGTGAATCAAAATGAAGGACTCACTTGTTACCAGTCAACAGACACCCCCCCCCCCCAATTTGGGTTATATGGTTGGCCAGATACGTGCAGCTCAGCCTTCTCTACTGATAGTTCTGACCCTTGTGAGTGGTGACTGACTGCATGCTGGCACCTGAGAGGAAAACTGCAGCCCAGCACATCTTGGACTAACTTGTTTCCTCTTTCTTCCTGCAGAGGGAACAAGTTAGGTAAGAGAGATAAAGATGAAAAGAGAAACAGTAAGTCTTTGCATGAAAAAAAAAAAAAATCTTCATATATATATATAAATATATATACCATATAAAAGAAAGTATCTGTTAGATTCTACAAGAGGTGCCTAGTGATGGCCTGCCTCTGGGATATCCTAGTTGGTACTGGTGGCTAAAGAAGAAAGTTCTCAAGCTCACAGTGGCTCTGTCTTTACTACACTCATGTTTCAGAGGGAGGCATAGGCTAGGAACTGAGTTAGTCAGACTCAGTCAATGACTGTAGGGATTGGGAGTATTTCTGCCTCATCTTGCTATCAAGAATAGAACTTACTGTTGCTCGTTTGAAGATGACCCTCTTACCCAGGCATGTGCCTAAGTGCTGTCATGTCCTCATGTCCTCCTAAGGTCCATGTAATAGATAGCGGGTGCAGTTTTCAGAGGTGATACTCGATCTGGTTTGTTCTGTGTTTAAATCTCCCAGCACTGAGGCCTACCTTTGCTGATTGATGGTTAATACTGGTGATAGCCATAGGGACTTGGTCCAGGCTGCATTTGTCTCACTGTTGTTCTGTACCTCAGCAATGCACATCCCTTGTCAGGGCAGCATTCCACAGCCAGAGAAAACAAAAGCACTGTTCTGCCTGTGGTGTACCCATTGCCTCTGACACCTTTGGGTGCCAGCATGATTGGGTTGAATGAACTGGTAAGGCATGGGTGTGTGCAAGGGTGTTTCAGAGAAGACTTTCATGGGTATCAGTGATCTGACTGGGGAAGATCTCCCCAAAATCTGAACCATCCTATAGGCTAGGCCCATATGGAACATGATGTCTGTCTCTGCCTTTCTCTTCCCAAGCAGGCATGCCTTTTGCCTTAGATAGCAGACTCTAGGTTCTTTGTTCTTTCAACTCTAGGAGTTGTATGAGTGACTGTTGGGCCTTCATATCTAACTGAGGCTGTACAACATTTGTACCTTGCAGATGACCTCTGTGATCATGTGAGCAAATTTAATATATTTTACACACACATACACACACACACACACACACACACACACACACACACACACACACACAATCTATTTCTTTGGAGAACCCTAATGCAACCTTCTTGAATGTGGCAACTCAGTCCTTTTTCCTTACTCTGGCCTATAGAGCTGTAGAGCCTGCATATTAATAGTGCTGTACTGAACTCCTAGGTCTGAGCACCCCAGCTCCTTTCCTTGGCATGCTGCTCTTGGCATGCTGCTCGAAGTCTAGGTGTTCTTCCAGTCTCTGTTGAGCTTTGCATAGCCAGGTTCTGGAGCATGAGGAATATGGCAGTACTTAGCAGGCACTGCCCGTGGCTGCTGTGACCACCGTGCTAGGGTTCTCTGACTCTAGGGCTCCTGTCTTCAAGGACTGAGAGTTTTGTGACAGCCCTTTCCTCTGTCTTGGCTAGGTAAACTCTGTAGAGTATGGGATGAATTAGGATCCTGTTGGGAGCCCTTTCCAAGTGATCTGTGTTGCTGCCAGCAACATTCCCATGGGAATGGTCTTTGGGCTCACAGACCCTATCTTTTTGTATTCAGAATCCACTGGGAATAGAATCTGCATACTAGTAATTCCTTTATTCTATGCCTATAAAAAATATGATTGCTACTAAATCACCTCTAAGAGCTTTTGTTGATAAATCCAACTCTGACTTCATTTAGTCCAGAGCTATGTTACTTTGGGAGGGATGTCCATACTGGTGGAATAGGGTGGAGTCATACACTGTGACTCAACACCTATAGTCCTGGTACTTGAGAGGCTGAAGCAGAAGGGTTGCCATTAGTTTTGGGCCTGCCTAAATACATAATATGAAAACATATCAAGATAAAAAGAAGCAAACAAAACACTGGTCCGGCAAGATTACTCAGTAGGTAAGAGTGATTGCCACCAAGTCTATAATGACCTGAATTCGATCTTTAGCATTTGTATGGTGAAGGGAGAAAACAGACTCCCACAAGTTGCCCTCTGACTTCTCTCTGTATGTGTGCCATGATTCTCACGCACACACACATGGAGGGGGGGGGGATGTTAGATAAACAAATAAAACTGTATAAAAAGTTTAAAGATGGAGCAGGGTGCAGCTGATAGCCCAAACACTAACATCTTGTGTTAATTGCCGCATATTTGAATGGCTCAGGTGCTTTATGAGGTGCATGATATTCTTTGCTTTTTCAAAATCTTAGAATCTTGGATGGGGTTGTTGTTTGCCCAGGTGTGGGATTGAACCTCAAAGCCATGCCTGGCTGGCTGGAGTTTTCTCTCTTGAAAAGCTGTAGCCCCTTTAATAGGGGTTGGGAAAAGTGACCCTTTGCAGCCAAGGAAAAAAAATAAGGTGACAAGGGCAGGGAGATGACCAGGGTTTTGAGAAATTCTCATCTCAGATTGATGCACATGATACCTCCCCAGGCTGGAGAGATTCTTGTACTGTATATGTACTCTCATTAGCCTGGCTGGGGAGAGCTAGACAGACATGTTATAGAGGACAATCGAATATAAGGTCCTCACTCCTCAGATGTAAGGGAAAGTACACATTCCTTTCCTGCAGACTCCCTGAGGACTCTTCATTCATGTTTTGCTATGGTCTGGGCTTTCCTGTGTACCAGTTGCTGTTAGAGTTTTAGTCTGATTTTGCCAAATACCTACTGTCTGCAGAGTTTATGAAAAGAAACTAGCTGCATTCAGATGCCACCATAAACATGGCATCTGTGGATGATATGCCATCTCAAGTAGAGCCAACGAAAGCTCCTTGGAACTGGGTTCCTGTCCCTCAAGAGTTGCTGGGACTGTTACTGGATGGATTTTGTTTTTAGGGGAGCATCATTTGTGGACAATAAGAGATTTGAGAAAGAAGAGCCATAGGCACTATAAACACTTCTTCTGGTTCCTCATCAGCCTGGTCCTTGCCTGTATGTGGGGTCCCTTCCTGATGCTAGGTGCAGGGCTGGTCTTCTGACTGTGCAACTTTAGCAAGTAAGTGCTGTATGTTATAGAATGTGTCCAATTGCAGACACTAAAGGTTTGATGTGTTTTTACTTTATTTATTGATTACCTGTTCAGGGCCGATTTTTTTTTTTTTTTTCTTTTCCTTCTAATTGCATAAATGAGACAATCTTATAAATTATCGAGCCTGCTTTTGTTCTATTCCACGCATTATATCTGCTGTGTGGACTCTGCATGTGGATTAAGAAAAGGTTGTGTGACTATCAGGGGCTTGCCTGTGAGCCGTCGTTGTAGCCATGCTTGACCTTTGTATGATCCTTGCAATAACACCTGCCTCCTGATCTCCACATGCCACTTAGTGCTTCTTGTTAGGGCTGGGAAGATAGCCTGTGGATATGACCTCTTTTGAAAAAAAGGACTTTGCAGGTGTAATTCAGAATTTCAGCATGAGATCATTCTGGATTTTCTTGATGCCCCTGAATTCAGTGAAAGACACCCTTAAAAGAAGCTGAAGAAGACACATAGACACCGAGACCGAGAAGTTCATGAAAACCAGGCAAAGACCAGGGAGACCAGCAGCCACCAGAAGCTGAAAGAAGCCAAAAGGATCCTTTGTTGAAGCCTGCAGCAGAGTACAACCATATCTACTCCTTGATTTTGGACGTCTGGTCTCCAGAACTACAAGAATGGATGGGTGATGTTTTAGTACCCTCTCCTCGCCAGTCTGATTTTGTCATAGCAACCCTCAGACACTCACATAGGGCCCTTGAAGCCTCTGTGAAGAGGAGTGGCGTTTGGAGCTGTGATTGGTACCCTGGACTCTGCAATAGGAGTTTGTGACCTTCTCACCTCACAGCAGGGGAGTGCAGACATGCCACTTGCTTCTCAGCGCCTTCCACGTGTCCTGTTTCTCCTCCCTTTCGCAGTGGATCCCACACCAGACAGTCAGGGCAGGCAGGGGTGGCAGCTAAAACCGTGTGACAGTTCTTGCCTCCCTCCCTCCCACACTTGAGAATGTTAAATGAGACTTCTTGACTCAGGCAAGCTCCTTGCCTGGTTACGGAGATGTGAAATCAGCCGTGGCAACGGCACCAGCTACTTTTCCTGCTTCTTCACTCGGTTGCAGAAGCCAGGCTCTGAGCTTGTGTATTGTCCTCGTTTCTTCCTCCCTGTGGAGAACTGGCAGGCTGGCTGCCCTCTGCGTTGCGTGGGTAGCTGTAGGCAGGCAGCATGCTCTGCTTCAGGGGCTCTCAGACATGGCTGTGTTGGCAAGGGAGTTGGAGCTGCCTAAGAGGGGAATGCCATTCCTCACACACATCTTCATGCACTGACATTATATATACAAACTATTTGACATTGCTCAGGTAACTCTAGAATGTTTTCTGAATAAATAGATGTTGGAGTTCAGGCTTTAAAACTTACTGCACTGTGTTT